TGACAAATCATCAGCTAGATTAGAGAAAAAAATATGAAAATTATAATACATATAATCATAAATTAAAGAGGATACATTTCAGCTACCATAGAAATACAAGGGATCCAAAGAAATTACTATGTACAATTATATATGAACAGACTGGATAACCTATGGAAAGAATAAATTTCTAGACACATACCATCACAAAGATGGAATCATGATGGAACAAAAAATCTAAACAAATAATAAACAAAAAGTCTCAATCAGTTCTAAAGTCTCCCACCAAAGTCCAGATCCATATAGTTTCACAGCTAAATCCCACCAAACATTTGAAGAAGAGCTAATACTAATCTAATCTTCTGCAAACATTTTCAAGAAATTGAAGTGGAAGAAAAGCTTCCAAACTCATTTTACAAAGCCAGTATTATCCTCACACCAAAGCCAAACAAAGACACTACAAGAAATGCCCAAGGACAAGGATGCCCACTCATACCACTTATATTCAACATCTTTCTGTAAGTCTAGCCAGAGTAACTAGGAAAGAGAAAATAAATAAGATGCATCTTAATAAGAAATGGAAAAAAATTTTCTCTACTGATAACAGGATCATAAAAAAAACTGAAAACTCCATCAAAAAACTGTTAGAACTGATAAGAAAATTCAGTGAAGTTGCAGGATACAAAATCAACATGCAAAAGTCAGCTGTATGTCTATATACTAAAAACAATCTACTCAAAAAGAAAATTGAGAAAACTATCTCATTTACAGTAGTATCATAAAACAATAAAAACTTGGAAGTAAATTTAAGCAAATTTAACCTGTACACTAAAAACTACTGCTAATGAAAGAAATAGAAGAAAATACAAATAAATGAAAAACTATCCCATGTTCCTAGACTGGAAGGCGTAATGCTGTTAAAATATTTACACTACCCAAAGTGAACTGCAGATTCAGTGAAATTTCCATCAAAATTGTAATGTCATTTTTCACAAAAATAGAAAAAAAATCTTAAAATCATACAGAACCACAAAAGACCCAGAAAAGCCAAGACAATCTCAAGCAAAAAGAACAAAGCAAGGGACATCACACTCCATAATTCCCAATCTACTAGAAAGTAATTGAAATCACAGCAGCATAGAACTGGCATAAAAGCAGATATAATGACAAATGGAACAGGTTAGGAAGCCCAGGTATAAACTCACACCTTTCTGTGAAGCTTTATATATTTGACAAGGGTGCTAAGAACACACAACATGGAAAGGACAGTTTCTTCAATAAATGGCACTGTTTATTGATTAAACAGGATATCCATATGCAGAAGAACAAAACGATCTTTATTTCATACTACATACAAAACTCAACTCAAAATGGATTAAAGACTTAAATATAAGACCCGAATTTGAAAAACTACAGAAGATAAAAGGGCAAATGCTCTATGACATTGATTTTTGGTCATGAACTCAAAAACACAGGCAACAAAAATAGAAACAGACAAATGAGATTACATCAAACTAAAATCTTGTGCACAGGAGGGAAAACAATAAAATAAAGAGTAAACACTCATAGTGGGAGAAAATATTTGAAAACCATGCGACTTATAAGGAGTTAATAACCAAAATACATAAGCAGCTCAAACAATTCAGTAGCAAAAAAACAAATAACTATTTTAAAATGGGCCAAAAACATCTGAATGGGCATTTCTCCAAAAAAGACATAAAAATAGCCAGCAAGTTTATAAAAAGATGCTCACCATCACTTATCATTAGGAAAGTACAAATTAAAACCATAATTAGATTTCTTCTCACATGTGTTAGAAGGGCTACTATGAAAAAGACCAAAAAATGACACATTCTGATGAAGAAGTAGAGAAAAAGTATCCTTAGACACTACTGGTGGAAATGTGAATGAGTACAGTGATTATGAGGACAGTGAAATGAGGATGGTATAGAGGTCCTCCAAAACCAAAAAATAAACCTACTATATTATGACCCAGCCATCCTATTCTGGGTACATATCTGAAGGAAAATCATACCAACATAAAGAAATAACTGCACTCCCACATTCATTGCACTAGTATTCAAAACAGCCAAGATACAGAATCAACCTAGATGTCCAGTGATAGATGAATGGATACGGAAACTGTGGTGTATATTGACACAATGGAATGTTACTTTGCCATAAAAGGGGTAATATCATGTTTGCATCAAAATTGATGAAAGTGGAGATTATTATGTTAAGTGAAATAAACCAGACACAGAAAGACAAATACCAATAGCTACTTGGAAGTTAAAATAGCAATTGCTAAAGTTTTGGAAGAGTAGGGAAGAGGGTTAGGGGGAGGTTGGATAATGGATATAGAGGTAATAGGTTCTAGCATCCCATGGCACAGTGGGGCAACTATAAAGTTCACAATAATGAATTAGACACTATATAAGGAACTGGAACAGAGGAGGCACTGGGTTCTAAACACAAAGAAAAGAAAAAGAAATGGGAAGCCTAGTTGCCTGACTTGATTGGTTTATGCTGCATGTATGTGTTGAGATATTGTGCTGTATTCCATAAAAATGTGGATCACATGTTAATCAAAAAGACTTAAAAGAAATATTTTAAGAAAAAATGTTAAAAATGGTAAATGTTACCGAGCATATGAAGCAGAGAGAATCCTTATATATTGTTAGTGAAAATGTTGAGTACTACCTTTATAGGACACTTCAGAGGTTCCTCAGAAAACTAAAAGTAAAATTACCATCTGATCCAGCAATCCCACATAGGGGTGTATTTGTTTGTGTGCATCCAAAGGAGATAAAATCAATATGGATATCTGAACTTCCATGTTCACCACAGCCTTATTCATGATACCCAAGATATGAAATCAACCTAAGTGTCTATCAACAGGTGAGTGGATAAAGAAAATGTAGTACATACACACAATGAAATACTTTTTAGCCTTTAAAGGGGCAATTCTGTCTTCTGCAATAACGTGGGTGAACCTGGAAGACATTATGCTAAAGTTATATAGGCCACAATCTCACACATATGTGGAATCCCAAGAAGTCGAACTCATGGAAGTAGAGAGTATCATAATCAAAGTTACCATGGATTGCAGGTGGGATGAGGGGAGAGAGGGACTTAGAAGTTGTTGGTCAAAGGGTACAAAAGTTCCACTTAGGAGGTATAAATTTTGACCTCTATAGCGCAGGAAGGTTACTATAGTCAATAATGATATTTTGTATATTTCAAAATAACTCAGTGAATTTCCAATGTCTTACCATAAAAAATTATAAGTGATGTGGTGATATGTAATGGGTTAATTTGAATCATTCTACATTGTATACATCTATCGAATTGTACCCCACAGAGTATATAATTATGATTTATCAATTTAAAATATTAATTTTAAAAACATAGCTTGTGAAATTTCACTTAAAAAGAAAAAATATCCAAATCTTTGCATAGAATGTGAGGCTTACATTAATTCTTAATTGACCTTACCTGCTTTCATTCATAATGTATAGAATAAATATGAACTGTATTTTCAGTATACTATTTCAAAACTAGACACAAATTTAAAGTATTTTCTTTATTAAACAGTTCATTTAAGGCTCTTTTTGGACATCATGGAAAACGTAAAATGAACTCAAAGGTAGGATGTCTATTCTTAAAAAGGTCACACACTTTGAAGGCAAAGATATAGATGCGTACATTACAGTATCAAGGCAATATGTGTAAAAAACCCAGTAGGAACCAAGATGCTTGGACACTTGGAAGAAAAATGAAACTTTTAACAGAAGGGACCAGGAAAATCAGATTCTCAGAAGATGGACTGCAATTCAACTACTGCTGAAAGAATACCTCAAATTTGTGGCAAGAAAAGGGCCTGAGCAACAGCAGATGCGTTGGAAAACCTAAAACCAGATTACCTACAACCTGAATCACATTAAGTGACTAATTTGACCTTCAGATCAGACTGTGGAGACCTTGAATAGCAAGTGAAAGAACTCAGAGTTCATCCACTAGGAGATAGATAGACCCATAGAAGCTTTTTGAGCTAGGAAATGTGGTTATCAAAACTGTATCAAGAAATTAGTTTAGCAGCAGTCAACAACGACATGAAGAGGAATGAGATCAGAGGCAGGAGGAGACTTGATGGAGGGTTAACTGCATTGGTCCAGTGGATACAGTAGGAAGGCAAAGGGAGGTATGGGCATAAGACAACACAGGAGGAGAACAATAATACCTTAGTGGATAGCAAGGGAGAAGGACAATGCAAGGATGACTCAGATTTTCAGCTTGGGTGATTGAGGTAACAGAAAGGAAAATCTGAGTTCAGAGGGAAGACAAGGATATCAGTCTGAGGTAACATTCAGACAGTTTTCCATCAGGAAGTTAGAAGTACAAAACAGAGGTGTTAGTAAAAAAGAAACAGATTATACTCTTAGATTTAACTGGAAATAAATTAATAAATAGATATTTAAGAGGCAATATATTTTAGAGTAATCTACACTAGAGATAAAAGTTGAAGGTATTTAAATAGAGTTGCTAATTATGACAGACTTTTAACAAGTATTTGAATCCTGTACCATTGCAACATGCAACACTGGATCATGACAAAATACCTGAGGATATAAGAGTGGGCTAGGACAGGAAGTCTGCGTAAACAAACTAAAATAACCACAATAAAAGTTATGAGATTTTTCAGATTCATTCCTTGGAACAAATTTTCATCACTAAAGTTTGGAAATTGAAGTACTAAACAAATCTATTCAAATTACTTCCCTATTCAAATGAATTTCTCTCTTTCTATGAAATAAACATAGAACTACTTACCATAAAACTTAACATACTTCATAGGAATACTAATCAAAACCTTGATTTCATTGGAACAAGAAAGTTCTTACTGACACCATCTGAGACTTACAAATGTATCTTCTTGTTCTACTCTATTTTAAGCCATAGCCTGTGAGTATTGAGATGCTTCTAAGAGTTATTTACCAAAACACATGTTCTCCAAGCCTCACCTGTTTTTGGTTTCTTGGAAGGGCTGAGATTCAGATGTTGGTCTTCTGATGAAAGGTTCATACTAATATCATACAGTGGATCATCCAAGAAGGAGGGCCTTTGAAGTCTCCCAATGCCAAGAGTCTTCGACATAAAATAGTCATGTGCGTCACTAACCACCTCAGCCTTAGAAAATTGGAGGCATTTCATATTCTCCACTTCGATGACAAGAGCTTCTGGCATGTAATGTCCTGTCAAAGCTTTAGTGAGGTAATAGCCTTTAGAGGATTCACAACCTGCATCCTCAAGCCTATTTGCATCTTCTGCCTCAGCTTCCTGGGCCTTTGTTTCTGCTTCATTTAGTAATTTAGAAAGGATGGACTTGGAAAGCTGGGATGGCTCCGATGTAACATCCTCAATGTCTTTGTTTTCTCTTCCTTCAGGAAGTGGAATGATGGATTTTTGTTTGAATGTGCATCCATCCAGAAGATACTGTAACTGTGTCTCAGAGAGCAGTGATGTAGAATCCAACTGATAAAACAAAGCAAAAGTCTTCATGGTCAATTGATCAAGTAACATGTATTTTTGGTAAGCTTTCATTAATACAACATAAATCCAAGTGCCAGGAAAATCATTACATAACACATACAAATAGGAAAATAATTCATTTTTTTAAAGATTTATCTATTTATTATTTGAAAGTCAGAGTTATACAGAGAGAGACAGAGAGAAAGAGAGAGACAGAGAGACAGAGAGACAGAAACAGAGGTCCTCCATCCGATAGTTCACTCCCCAACTGGCCACAACGACCAGAGCTGTGAAGATCCAAAGCCAGGAGCCAGGAGCTTCCTCCAGGTCTCCCATGTAGGCGCAGGGGCCCAAGGACTTGGGACATCCTCCACTGCTTTCCCAGGCCACAGCAGAGAGCTGGATCAGAAGTGGACCAGCCAGGCCTTGAACCAGTGCCTATACGAGATGCTGGAGCTTCAGGCCAGGGCATTAACCCACTGTGCCACAGTACTTGAAATATCCCAAATCATGGGGGAAATGTACAGCTGCCCTAGAGAATAAGTTTATAGTCAATCATGGTCTCCATAATCCAAGAGGGAAATTCTACAATACTGATGAAAATGGATTGTGGTACCGAATTAACAACTAATACCATTCTGTTACCATTCTGTAACACATCAAAGCATCATTAGCTGGAATGGAGATACCAGAAAACCATCCTTCTTTTAAAAAGTCATAGGCCATCAAGCAGAGAAGTAGGCAATAGTAGGCAATCATTTCTTAGATAAACAGCCAGGAATCCTGCCACAGTCTCCAGATGTTTCTCTAAGGACTGCCCCAGCATACTCCTCCACATGAACAATTCCACCTCTCAGTTCCTTAACTGGGAAAAAAATCTCAGGAAACAGCTACTCCTGGGGGTTCATCACTCCTACATGTGTCCACAACTTACAGTGGAAGAGTGGATGTGTGGCTTATCCTGACATGTGTAGTTGCTTCAAAGCTACAGGTCCTGGCAGGAGCCAGGGTCATTCCAGAAGCAGTGCATCTGGGGAGAAGGATTGCATCATATTTATTTAATTGCTGCCTATAAAGGCTACCAATGCCAAGCATTTCAACCAAGAATTTAAAAATTTAAAATCACATTTTTCTTTTTTTTTAAAGATTTTTTATTTATTTATTTAACAAGTAGAGTTACAGACAGTGAGAGAGAGACAGAGAGAAAGGTCTCCCTTCCGCTGGTTCACCTCCCCAATGGCAGCTATGGCCGGAGCTATGCCAATCTGAAGCCAGGAGCCAGGTGCTTCTTCCTGGTCTCCCACACGGGTGCAGGTGCCCAAGCACTTGGGCCATCCTCCACTGCCTTCCCGGGCCACAGCAGAGAGCTGGACTGGAAGAGGAGCAACTGGGACTAGAACCTGGTGCCCATATGGGATTCCGGCGCCTCAGGCGGAGGATTAGCCAAGTGAGCCACGGCGCCAGCCCAAAAATCACATTTTTCTTCTAGTTGATATTCCCAGAAAATAATAAAAATGAATCCAAAGTAAGTACTGATCCATGTTCTATAAGAACTCAACTGAACACCATGCCATCTGACTTTCAACAATCTCAGAAAGAAATGGGATTCAAAGGAGACCCAGATTGAAGCTCCTGACTCCTGGCCCAGTCCTGGCCATTGAGGCCATTTGGGGAGTGAACCAGCAGGTACAAGATCTCTCTTTCTCTCAGTAACTCTACCTTTCAAATAAATAAAATAAATCCTTAAATTAAAAAATGAGATTGAAATACATTGAAATACACAAAAAAATTATACCTTCTCTAAAGAATCAGTATCTTCCTTGATTTACACAATGTTGTTATCTAGGAAAACACTAATCTTCCTTTACAGAGAAATGAATTATCCAAGAACAAGTCCCCATAATAAAACTTAATCATGGGGCCGGCACAGTGCACAGTGGGTTAACACCCTGGCCTGAAGCACCGGCATCATATATGGGTGCCGGTTCAAGACCCAGCTGCTCCACTTCTGATCCAGCTTTCTGCTATGGCCTGGGAAAGCAGAAGCATGAAGCAAGATCCCTACCTTACACCTTTCACAAAAATCCACTCAACATGGATTAAAGATCTAAATCTATGACCTGACACCATCAAATTATTAGAGAACATCAGAGAAACCCTGCAAGATACAGGTACAGGCAAAGACTTCTTGGAAAAGACCCCAGAGGCACAGGCAGTCAAAACCAAAATTAACAATTGGGATTACATCAAATTGAGAAGTTTCTGTACTGTAATAGAAACAGTCAGGAAAGTGAAGAGGCAACCAACAGAATGGGAAAAAATATTTGCAAACTATACAACAGATAAAGGATTAATAACCAGAACCTACAAAAGATCAAGAAACTCCATACAACAAAACAAACACTTAAGAGATGGGCCAAGGACCTCAATAGACATTTTTCAAAAGAGGAAATCCAAACGGCCAACAAACACATGAAAATGTTCAGGATCACTAGCAATCAGGGAAATGCAAATCAAAACCACAATGAGGTTTCACCTCACCATGGTTAGAATGGCTTTCATACAGAAATCTACCAACAACAGATGCTGGCGAGGATGTGGGGAAAAAGGGACACTAACCCACTGTTGGTGGAATGCAAACTGGTAAAGCCACTATTGAAGACAGTTTGGAGATTCCTCAGAAACCTGGATATAGCTCTACCACATGAACCAGCCATCCTACTCATCAGAATTTACCCAAGGGAAATTAAATTGGCAAATAAAAGAACTATCTGTACCTCAATGTTTAATGCAACTCAATTCACAAGAGCTAAGACATGGAATCAACCTAAATGCCCATCAATGGAAGACTAGAGAAAGAAATCATGGGATATGTACTCTATGGAATGCTACACAGACACAAGACTAGTGTCGCTAATAATAACTGATAGAATTAAAAAGGAGAGAATGATCCAACATGGGAAGTGGGATACACAGCAGACTCACAGAATGGTAGATATTCTAAATAGCACTCTGGCCTCAGAATCAGCCCTTACAGCATTTGTAGCCAGCTAAAAAGCCCATGAGAGTTTCTCAGGCATGGAAAGCCAAGACACTGTGGCAAAAAAAAAAAAAAACACCTCTATGAAAGATCTCTGTGAGTGAGATCCCCGTGGAAAAAATGGGCCATCAAAGAAGGAGGTATCTTTCTCTGAAGGGAGGAGAAAACTTCCACTTTGACTATTACCTTGTCTAAATAAGGTCAGAGTTTGTGAACTCAAGAGGCTTCCATAGCCTTGGCAGCTCATGACAAGAGCCTTGGGTGATTACTGACATCATAAATAAGAGTGTCAATTGTTATATCAACAACAGGAGTCACTGTGCACCTACTCCTCATGTAGGATCTCTGTCCTTAATGTGTTGTACTATGCGAATTAAAGGTAAAACTAGTACTCAAACAGTACTTTATACTTTGTGTATCTGTGTGGGTGTAAACTGTTGCAATCTTTACTTAGTATACACTAAGTTGATCTTCTGTATATAAAGATAATTGAAAATGAATTTTGATGAAGAATGGGATGGAAGAGGGAGTGGGAGATGGGCTGGTTAAGGGTGGGTGGTAGGTTATGGTGGGTAAAGCCACTATAATCCAAATATTGTACTTTGGAAATTAATATTTATTAAATTAAAGGTGAAAAAAAAATTAAAAGTGGTTGACTCTGGAGAGCAAATCAAAGGGTGGGGAAGACTGAGGCAAGAGGCTGCCATTCATGTTCAAAACATTTTAAGAGCATTTTTTCCTTATTACTATAACAAAAGTAAAACTAAATATGAAATAAAAGTAATATAAATGTATTTAAAGTGTTTAAAAATTTGAATATTGAAACAAAACTCCTAATATCTTTGGAAATCAGAGAAGATCTGGGTTTTATGAAGCCAGAAATTTATATGATCTCTGAGCAGGAAGAGGGAATTTCTTTAAAAAAATACAAAATTACAAATATAAATTTAGGCATAAATGTAAGTTTTTTGTTTTTATAACATGAAAAAGATCCCAGCAAATTGCTGGAGTCTTAGAGAGTTAAGTCCACCTCTTGCAGTATCACTTAAGGTCACTGACTAGAAATGCTGACAGAAATGTTCGCTGATTGCAACATGGCTTCCTCTCTCCCATCCCTCAGGCTTCAGTAGGTGAGGGGTCCTGAAGCTGAAGCTGCACTGGCTTCCCAGGAAGTCTGTTCCTGGGTACTCTGAGACAAAAGCATAACATATTCCAGCTCGCATGCTCATAGAAATAAGCTGAAGTGCAATCACCCTCATCCTGTTGGGGGAAGTAACCCGAAAGAAAAGAAAACACAGGAGACTAGAACCTGGATTTCTGTCCATGCTCTGCTGCCTTGAGCAAGTCACCTAAGTTCCTAGGGCCAATAGCCTTCATCTAAAAATGAAGAATTGAAAAAGATGATCTCCAAATTAATTTATAGCTCTAAAATTTTTTAATGAACTCAAAAATTAAAATAAATAAAAGAATGAACTTTTCTACTGAAAGTAGAGTATAACCTCAATAGAATTTTAAAAAACAAAACAATAAAAAGAAAAATTGAACTTTAATTACTTTGGCTTTGTCACAATTTCAATCCTAAACTTTTATAACTCAGGGCAGCCAGGTGGCAAGCAGTGTGACCCTAGAATCCCATACTGGAGTGGGTTCAAGTGGGTTCAAGTCCTGGTCCTGCTTCTAATTCTAGTTTCCTGTTAATACATCCAGGAAACTGCAGATAATCATTCAAATATTTTGGATTTAGGTCCCTGTCACCAACATGGGAGACTTGAATTGAGTTTCAAGCTCCCAGCTTCAAGCTGGCCCAGCCCCAGCTGTTATAGACACTGGAGCACAAATTAGAAGATGGAAGGTTGATCTATCTCTCTCTCTCTCTCTCTCTCTCTCTCTCTCTCCAACTCTCTTAAGTAAATGGAAATTAAATTTAAAAATTTTAGAAATTATATAATTCTATAACAACTGT